TCCCCGCCTTTTCCGTTTGTTCCTGACTTAATTTCCTTTCCCTTGTTCCTCTTCCATCCTGATTCTTCTTTTCTTTGTCATTCAGTAGTTAGTTTCGCGTATCAGTAGTCTTCAGCTTAGTTCATTCATTTTGATTTTGTTTTAGTTAGTATTAAATTGGTTAATTAGTCTATTGAGATGTTAGCCATGTTTATCTGCTTTACCTTCTTGGTTATTCTGAAAAAAGGGGGGGTTGTGATCTCTCTCTTGGGCAAGCTTACCTAGCCCATTGAATTCGTTTGGGTTTTAAAATCAGAAGGCCCCAACAAAGGGTTAGCCTGAGTCTATTTGGACTCGTTCGTATTGGGTCAATTGGCCCAGTGTTTATTTGGACATTTAGAGGTATTTGGGGGTAGTCTAGGAATTCTAGGTCAGGGAATCTTTTGCAACTGATTTAGAAGCTTCTAGTGGAGGGGTTTTAGTGAATTTCAGGCTAGTAGTGTTAAAACTTGGGTAGAAAGTTAAAAATTGGGGGATACCTAAGCTAAAATGGAAATTAAAAGAGGGACTGAGGGTGCAATACTAAAATCAGAGGACTGCCCTATGGTCGAGCCTATATAAGATACTATTCTTGCCTTTCAAGGCAAGATTTAGAGAGGAAGAACACAGAAAATTAGGGGCGGCTAAGAAAAACTCCAAAAGAAATCACTGTTCTATTGAATTGTGGTTCTAGTTTTAGGTTTCTTCTCTTAAAATAATTCTGGTGCACTTTGAGCCTTTGAGACGGTTTGATTTTGAAATCGAAAGGGTTTTGGTTTGAGTTTTTGGTAGAAGTCCATTGTTTCATCGATTTGGGGGCTGAATTTTGTTGGTTTTGGTCTCTGAGTCTGGGCTAGTTTGCTGCTGAGTTTTGAAGTCGTTCTCCTGGTCTATTCGTGTCATTTGCTGGGTTTGATTGCTGCTGTTGCTGGTGTTAATTTTCTGCTGACTAACCTTGCTGATAGCTCACTCTCTCTTCCCCTTTTGTTTCAATTCCAGGTATTTTCCTTAGCTCATGATCAAAGATCGAATGTTGAACATGTAATGGATTTGAAGCTCATGTTAAATGAAGATTCCCTTTGAAGCTGACCCCTCTGTTTCTTCTACTACGTCCATTTTTGTTTAACTAGACTTCAAGTTATAAATGCTAGTTAAGGTCTCGTTCTCTGTTATTTGTTTAAACACTGAATTCGGTTTCGTTCTTCTAGTATAGTTTTTGTGTAATCCATTTTGTTTTGAGGTTCAGAATTGAACTTATAGGGGTGTAATTGGTTGAAAATGTTTTGAACCTTCGAGTGTGTTAATTATGGACTGTGATTTGCCCTTAGACTGGCTGAAATTGTTTAGTTTTGGTTCCAGTCTTTAGAAAATTTTCATTTCAAGTCTAGTTTAATACCTAAACGATATTTTAGGAATTCACACTGGTTTGAGGTTGGAACTGTCTTTGAAATCATCTGAGATTGGCTTGAAATCGTGTGTAATTATCATTTTTTGAAATTAGTCTTACGAAGTCCAACTTAATTATAGGTTGATTATTTCAGTTTTGAGCTCTCACAAATGTTATTTACCCACTCTTTTGTGAATGATTATGTCCCGGAACTAAATGAATATCATGGATGTTTTGAATCAGATTCGTCAATTTGGGGATCAGTTAATCCCTTGTTTATATGTTGATTGTGTCGTTGCAAGGGCTCGATATCAAGCCTGATTTGTGGCAATTTCAAATCCTGAAAGTGGCCCCCGTCCCAATTTGGGCCTTCTTTTGGGCCCTGCTGGACTATGGCTAAAAATGTAATTCCGAATGCCTTTGTGACTGTGGGATGTTAGGCCTCACGTTGGGCCTGGATGATGACTTCAAATCATTAGCTTTATTATATTCCATTAATTTGAACCTTAGCATGATCTTAACTCTTTAACACCTAGATAATTGAATTCTCTTTAGTCGATAGAGGCGAGCCATACTGCATAACACAAATAGTTTATGGCCCTCGCGAATTAGTGTAGAGATGCTTTAATTAAAATAAACTGAGGTGCGCCGTGCCAAACAAAAATGACAATTGCGTGGCCCTCATTATTGATCCTTAGATTCCGAGACGGTGCATTTAGCAAATTCCATGGCCCTCGCAAAGTGCAAATGCGTAGTTGCTTTAGGCGCATGTTTAATAATATTATTTTCCTAAATTCGGGTGCGCATTTATGTGACCCAGATCCAAATCTCAACGACGTTAAAATATGTCAAAAATCACGGGTGCATTTATGTGACGTGGTTCGAGACGTGTTTTAACGATGTTGCAATTCTCTTTACAAATAATAATAAAAATGGTTAAAAAGTTAAAATTTGCACATAGGTTCATAATTGTTAAAATCAGATAATTAAGCTGAATATAACAGTTGAGCGACCGTGCTAGAACCACGGAACTCGGGAATGCCTAACACCTTCTCCCAGGTTAACAGAATTTCTTACCCGGATTTCTGGTTCACGGACTTTTAAACAAAGTCATTCTTTTCCTCGGTTCGGGATTTTAAACCGGTGACTTGGGACACCATAAATCTCCCAAGTGGCGACTCTGAATCTTTTAAATAATCCCGTTTCAATTGTCACTTCAAGTTGGAAATAACTCCCTTTATTATACCCCTTCCGGGGTGTAGTGAAAAAGGAGGTGTGACAGGTATGTTGACCATTTGTTCTCACGATGCTTATGCCTTGATAGACCTAGGATCTACTTTATCGTGTATTAACCCCTTTGTCACGGGGAAGTTTGGTATAGTTCCTGAAATACTAAGTGATCCTATTGTGGTATCTACACCGGTCGGAGAATCGATTATCACTAGGCGGGTCTACTGAGGTTGTATGGTGACAGTTTGTAGTCGTCAGACCTCAGCCGACCTAGTTGAGCTAGAGATGTTGGATTTTGATGCTATCATGGGCATGGACTGGTTTGCAGCTTGCTATGCCACAGTTGACTATCGAGCAAAGACAGCCGGATTTTATTTTCCTGGTGAGCCAGTCCTTGAATGGGTAGGTAATACAACGACACCCAGAGGTAGGTTTATTTCCTATCTGAAGGCGAGGAAAATGATTGCAAAAGGGTGCATTTATCATATTATGCGAGATAGAGATGCATATGCTGAGATACTTACACTTCAGTCTATTCCAGTAGTCAAAGAGTACGCATATGTATTTCCAGATGAACTTCCAGGTATTCCTTCAGAGCGAGAGATTGATTTTGGCATCGATTTGCTTCCGGGAACTCAACCAATATCCATCCCTCCGTATAGAATGGCAGTTGCCGAATTGAAGGATTTGAAGGAGTAGTTAAAAGATTTGCTGGAGAAAGGTTTTATCAGGCCCAGTACCTCACCTTAGGGTGCACCGGTACTGTTTGTACGGAAGAAAGACGGCTCGCTTAGGATGTGTATCGATTATAGATAGCTGAACAAGGTAACTATTAAGAATAAGTATCCACTTCCAAGGATAGATGACTTGTTTGATCGGTTGCAGGGAGCTAGATGCTTTTCAAAGATAGATTTGAGGTCGAGGTACCACCAGGTTAGAGTTCGAAAAAAAGATATTCCCAAGACAGCCTTCAGGACCCATATGGCCACTACGAGTTCCTTGTCATGTCCTTCGGGTTGACAAATGCACCTACCATATTTATGGACTTGATGAATAGCCTAATCCGACCATTTTTAGATCTGTTCGTGGTAGTCTTTATTGAGATAATCTGGTTTATTCACGTTCAGATGATGAGCATGCGGACCACCTGTGAGCGGTACTCCAAACCTTCCGCGATAATAAATTATATGCTAAGTTTTCTAAATGTGAGTTTTAGTTGAATTCTGTATCATTCTTGGGGCACATTGTATCCGATGGAGGTATAAATGTAAACACTCAGAAGATTGAGGCTGTTAAATCCTGGCCTAGACCTACCACTCCGGTTGCGGTTCGTAGCTTTCTAGGCCTAGCAAGATACTATCGGAGGTTCGTAGAGGGTTTTTCTTCCCTTTCGACACCATTAACGAAGTTGACGCAGAAAGCAACTAAGTTTGAGTGCACAAAGGCTTGCGAGCAGAGTTTCCAAGAGCTTAAGAACAAGTTGACCTCAACACTAGTTCTAGCACTTCCAGATGGTCCAGATGGTTATGCCATATATTGTGATGCCTCAGATGTCGGGTTAGGATGTGTCCTAATGCAACATGGGAAGGTAATTGCGTATGTTTCGAGGGAGTTAAGGAAGCACGAGCGGAATTATCCAACCCACGACCTCCAGTTAGCTGCGGTTGTCCATGCACTTAAGATGTGTCAACATTATTTATATGGTGTTCATGTTGATGCATTCACAGATCATAAAAGTCTGCAATATATCTTCAAGCAAAAAAGAGTTGAACTTGCAACAGAGGCGATTGCTTCAGTTATTGAAAGATTACGATGTTAACATTCTCTACCATCCAGTGAAAGCTAATGTTATAATAGATGCCTTATGTCGCCGATCGATGGGTAGCTTAGCACATGTAGAGGCCGAGAAAAGACAATTAACTAGAGAGGTTCATCCAGGGATTCGGTTAGTAGACTCTAGCAATGGGGGAGTTGTACTCCAAAATATTGCAAAATCATCTCTCATAGATGAAGTAAAGGAGAGGCAGTACGACGACCCAGAGTTGGTCGAGTTGAGAGAGCGAGTCCCAAAGCAGAAGAAGCTGTTGTTAGAGCTCAAGGGAGATGGGGTTCTCAAATACAGGGGTCGTTTGTGTGTTCCAGATGTAGCAGGGCTACGAGATAGGATTATGTCATAGGCACATTATTCGTGGTACTCCATTAACCCTGGGTCGACGAAGATGTATCATGACATTAAGGATGTGTACTGGTGGAATGATATGAAGAAGAACATTATTGAGTTTGTCGCGCAATGTCCTAGTTGCCCGCATGTGAAGATAGAGCACTAAAAGCCCGGAGGGCTAATGCAGACTATAGAGATCCCGACATGGAAATGGGAGACGATAAGATGGAATTTATCACAGGTTTACCTCATTCTCATCGTAAGCTCGATTCCATATGGGTGATAGTCGATAGGCTTACGAAATCAGCTCATTTCCTACAGGTCAGATCTACATATACAGCAGAAAATTATGCTAGGTTATATATTAAGGATATAGTACGGCTACACGGAGTACCAGTATCTATTATATCTGACCATGGGGCCCAGTTTACAGCATATTTTTGGAGGTCATTTCAGAGAGGTCTAGGGACCCAGGTGAATCTCAGTATAACTTTTCATCCATAGACTGATGGACAAGCCGAGCGCACAATTCAGACGCTCGAGAATATGTTACGAGCATGTGTGTTGGATTTTAAAAGAAGTTGGGACGAACATCTACCTCTTATTGAGTTTGCATATAATAACAGTTACCACTCCAGTATCCAGATGGCTCCATACGAGGCTTTGTATGGGCTTAAGTGCAGATCTCCTATAGGGTGGTTTGATGTTGGAGAATCTGGGTTACATGGGCCCGACCTAGTTCAGCAGGCCATAGAAAAAGTAAAGCTTATCCGAGAGCGACTGTTGATAGCTCAGAGTCGTCAGAAGTCATATTCCGACGTGCGGCGACGAGACTTAGAGTTCGGTGCTAATGACTGGATATTCTTAAAGGTGTCACCTATGAAAGGCGTGATGAGGTTTGGCAAGAAAGGAAAGCTTAGCCCACGGTATTTTGGGCCTTATAGGATCATTCGGAGGGTGGGCCAAGTAGCTTATGAGTTATAACTGCCCTCAAAATTGGAGTCTGTCCATCCGGTTTTTCACATATCTATGCTACAGAAATGAATTGGCGATCCTACACAAGTGGTGCCCGCGAATAATGTACAGATTACGAAGGACTTGTCATATGAGGAAATTCCAGTTGCCATCCTAGACTGACAAATCCGCAAGCTATCGAATAAGGAGGTAGCCTCTGTGAAGGTTTTATGGAGAAGCAAGAATGTGGAAGAGATGACGTGGGAAGCGGAGGAAGAAATGAAGTTTAAATACCCCCATCTATTTCAAACTGAAGATATGGCTTGAAGTGGGATACCTCAGCACAGCTCTATTCAGGCCAGTGGGTCATCAGGTAAGCTCTTATTTTTCACTTTCAGAATATATAAAGGACAGCTGTGTGAGGCCAAGTATTGCTATTTATAGACATTGTCCATGTGTGGCATGTATAGTATGTTTTCTAGCTGCGTGCAAGTTGGTTTTAGTCTAGTGTACGGAGGAGACTCTCGCAAAAAATTTCCAAAGTCTCTAAGAGTAAACATTCAAGGACTAATGTTTCTAAGGAGGGAAGGATGTTACGTCTCGCATTTTCGTATATTAAAGTTTCGTCTTCAGTTAATTGATGTAGACTCGGGGATGAGATTATCTTGAGATTATAAGCATCTATGCTATTTATATCAAGCGATAAGTAAGTGTCGTGAAAGATAAAGGGTGAACGAATCAAAAAAATGAGTTTCGTTGAAGGTTGTCCATTTGGGATAAAATACGGTCCGAGCTATAATACTCGAATTTATGTATTAGTTCCATACAAGGTACCATATGACCATGATAGTATGATTTATAAAGTGTGTTAAAATGAGTAGTATTTTAAGTAATTTGAGATAATTCTTAATTATGCGGTTAATTAGTTAAATATTAGTTTAATAGAAGATTAATCATGTAATTAAGGATTTATGGATATTTGTAGGTGAGGACAACCCCTCCCACGTGGCAGAAAGTGGAGGAATATTTAATAAGTGACTCTTGACATTAGGTAATCAAATTAAGTGGACACATGGATACTACTCTTAGCCATCCTTGCAAAACCGTAGAAAGGGGGTTTGTATTAGTCATCCCTACACATTGTCTTGAATGGATATCAAAATTCATTTTGGAGGAGATTTGGAATTTCATATGAGACTTCATATTATAACAGCAAGAACCATATTACAACAGCAACGGAAGTTCTTGGATTAGTAAAGGAATTCATACGAAATTGCACTGCATAATAACAACGGGATTTTGCAATTTTAGGGGAGTACGGTGCAATCCTTCTCAAGAATATCATACGGATTTTTTCCTACTCCAGGTATGTTTAGGATAAGTCCTTCCTTCACTTTGCCATGATCTCGTAATTACATGTGTTTGATAACGAGGCATAAAGAGAAGTTCATACTCCCGAACTTATGTACATTATCCTAGTCTCATAAATTACAGTATTCTCCCTTATCGGGACTTTATATTTAATTGAGTATTGTCTTCTTTCGGTCAAGAGAAAAGAAGTTCTATATATTACAGTATTTTAACCACCATCGAGCTATAATTTGTTTACATCTCGCGTTTTCGTACGTTAAAAGTTTCGTCTTCAGTTAATTGACGTAGACTTAGGGATGAGATCATCTTGATGTTAACATATTTACGCTATTTATAACAAGCGATAAACAAGTGTTATGAAGGATAAAGGGATACACGAATTAAAGAAAACGAGTTTCGTTGAAAGTGGCCAATTTGGGATAAAATACGGGTCGAGCAATAATATTCGATAATTATGAACTAGTACCATGCAAGGTATCATATGACCACGGTAGTATAATGTATAAAGTATATATAAAGTATATTAAAAATAAGTAGAATTTTAAGTGTAAGCACGTGATTTTTGCCCTATACGAAATACTCCTACAAAATCCAAGAAAATAGATTTTTCTTAATTATTTACCATTTTAGGAAATTTCATAGATTTTTTAATTGTTTACATTTTTCTTGCATGTTTAATTTTTATTTAAATAATGAAAAATACCAAAAAATATCACGCATGACATTTATGCTTTATTTTTATATTTTTTAGGATTAATCATAATCACTTGTTTTATTAAAATTGAAATCACAAAAAAATGCTTTATTTTTTACACTTTTTCCTTTTATTGATCTTTCACTTTTAATTCAGGATTAAGTAGCTTTTATAATTTTTGCAATTAGTTAATTAGTTTAATTTCACATTTCTAGAGAATTTAGGATTTTAATTTCTAGGATTTTAATTATAAACAAAGAAAAGAAAAAGGAAAAAAAAACAAAGAAAAGGAAAATAGGAAGAATATATCTTTTGGTCTTGTTTCTTTTAAATTTGGGCTAATTCCTAGAATTGTCCAAATTAGTTTTAAACCCCGGCCCAATTTGCATGACCCAATTCCCTTCGGCCCATTTCCCTTGACCCAAATCCCCTCATTAAAATCCCTAAAATCTAGAACCTTCCCCGGGGAGAACACGCCAAAAAAAAAAAACGCCGGAGCTCTTCAATTTTTTTCGATCCCTCACGCTTCAGGAGCTGGACTCACTCCTTCTTCTTCATCTTTCTAAAACACACACAAAGGAAAGGAGGAAAACGAAAAAAAAGAGATAGAAACAGAAGCATTTTAGAGAGTTTTGAAATTCAAATATCAATGGAGATCTAAAACAAAAAGCTTCAAACAAGAGGAGTAAAAGGGGTAAACGTAGCTGCTGGTATTTACACTACATTTTCTGAAAGTTTTAAGGTTTAATCGGGTTGGAATCGTCCAATTACTGTGGCTGTTTTGCTTGTTTCGCTGCTGTCCGAGCTGCTGTTGAGCATCCCGTTGAAAAGTTTTGAATTATATTATTGCTGTCGAGCCTCTATTTGTCATCTCTAAGTTGATTCTAGCAAAATCATGTACTTATCTATGAATTCGAATTACTGTTGTGTAGGAATTGGTCTGATTCCTTTGATTGTTTTTCAATAAAATGCCGATTCACTTTTGCTTTCATGTGATGGATATCTCTTGATAAGGCGGTTTTTTGGTTGTAAATCTGAATTTGCTTGTGCTGATTTATTTGTGTTCGGGATAAATGGAGGCCCATCAATAGTAAAAAACAGATTGGTTATGTCATTTGATTAATGATCTTAATGTTCCAAGTATTTTGATGTTTTGTTATCCAGTGATGGTAAGTATATGTATGAAGCCGTAACAGGTATCATATATAGTCAAAGTTCGAAATTCATAGCACACTTTTGCTTCTAAATTTTAATAATCCTGAAGCAGTTGATGGTCAAAGAAGATTTGTTGTTGCAGCAATAGAGATTATCAGCGTGTTTGTTTGGTCGGAATTCACGTTGCTTGCATCTTCTTTAGTTTGAGTTAAAAAGTGTGAAGTATTTTGTCATTTGGAAGTTTATTCTATGTGCTTTTCATTAATATTTTAAAGATCCTTTGTTGTGATGTTGTTGATTTGATTCTTGGCACTGTGATATGTTTTAATAGCAAAGTTTGAATTTCTTAATCGGATTTTCCTCAATTTTGAGCTCTTTTTTTTGTGTTTCTGTGCCCGACTCTTTCCTTAGTTTACTTGTTGGTATTTTCTTGTATTGATCCTTTATTGCATCATATGGAATTAAGCTCACTAATTTTTCTGAAATGCATTGGTTTTGGAATGGGCAATAATAGTATAATGTAGAATGACCGTGATTAGCTAGCTCATTTGGATCGTATGGTCACTAACTCTAACCAGTTTAATTTGAGGCACCGAATTAATTTATGTCGTGTTAGTAAGTTTTCAATAATATCTTGTCAATAATCCATGGCCCTCACTTAATTAATTTTAACTCCTTAGAAATCGGGACGGCCGTTTAGCGAATTTTCATGGCTTCTCGCAAAGATATCAAAACGCGTAGTTGTTTTAGGCGCGTTATTTTAATAATATTACTTTCCTAAACTCGGGTGCGCATTTATGTGACCCAAATTCAAATCTCAAGGATATTAAAATATGTCAAAAGTCATGGGTGCATTTATATGACGTGATTCGAGACGTGTTTTAATAACGTTGCAATTTTCCTTAAAATTAATTTAAAGCGGTAAATAATTTAAAATTGCACTTTAAATTGAGACATGTATTGAAATCAGATATTTAGCCATTTATAATAGTTTAAGAGACCGTGCTAGAACCACGGGATCCGAGGGTGCCTAACACCTTCCCTCGGGTCAACAGAATTCCTTACTTAGAATTTCTGGTTCGTAGACTCTATTCGGAAGTCGAAATTTTTCTCGGTTCGGGATTCAAGATAAACCGGTGACTTGGGACACCAAAAGTCAAACTTATCCCAAGTGGCGACTCTAAATAAATAAATAATCCCGATCCGAATAATGTCACTTAAAAATGGAAAAACTCCCTTATACATTTATCCTTCGGGGTAGGTGTGTAAAAAGGAGGTGTGACAGCTCTGGCGACTCTGCTGGGGACCCGAACCCAGAATTTCGATTCAGGGTTCAAGAATTCGAGCTTAGTATAATTGTTATATTTGGCTTTATCTGATTTTTCTACATGTTCCATGCTATATGTGCTAAATGCTTTACCCCTTTGATATTATCTGAACTGTATATAAACTGTGCCGAAACCCTTCTCTTCTAACCTCCGGGGATGTGCTTACTGGTTGAGACTCCCTATTCTGTTAGTGTCATACCCTGAAATAAGAAAGAGGCTCGGACAAGTTACTAAGCCGGACGATCTTGCGGGTCCCCGGTATGTAGCCCCCTCCTCGACTCGAGTTGTCCGCTCGGGTACACAGTCTAGAACAGATACCCAGGTTTTGAACCTAGAATAACTCGGCCTCATGCCGGATCCCTAGTAGGACGTTTGTTTGCATCATGTGCATTTGACTTAGGGGACTCAACACAGGGGTTGGGTCCGTCTAGGACAGGTGACCTAAAATGAATTGACCATCCTGATGCATCCTACGTGCTACTTGCGCATTTATTTGCTCGGCTTTGCATGTTGATCGGCTTGACTAAATGAGTGAAAATTGAGAAAAATAAGAAGTGTTAGGACTAAGTGAGAGTGACCATTTGAGAAAAACCAATGCCCAAATAGTACCGAAATGCTGCCGGATTTTTGAAAAATGAAAAATGGAAAAGAGAAAATTTTTGCAAGAAAAAACAAGAAAAACATAGAAAGAAAATTGTTGTTCAACATAGTTTTGATTTTGGCAAATCTGACCGAACTACGCAGGTCTGATTCTCACCGGATGTGAGTTACGTAGGCAAACCTCATCGGTTCCGACCCCAATTTTCAAAAATCCAAAAATATTTT